CGACTTCTTCTAGCACACTTTCATCTTCACCTTCAGAATTACTATCAATAAATAACTCATCATCTTCAGAACTGGCGCCAAACTCTTTCCATAAACGTTTGAGTCTTTTTTGTTCTTCTTCGTAAGACATTTCACAATTTTAGTGAAACTCCTGATATATGCATGAAAATAATCAACAATATTTTGCAGAATATTGTTTCAAATGAGAAATTGACCTTCAAACTTGATGACATGAATAGTTACATTAAAAGTGTTCCGGGGTATGTCATACCCTGACTGACTTCTAAGATGTCTCGCTTACAACTGAGACGTTGGAAAGAGAGTATGTAGTATCTGGAAGAATATGTTTCAACTACAGGTACTAAGCACTAGAAGTCGGTATTTCAATTCGTTTTGATTTGAGAGCTGTGACTTGCAATTCCGGGGTATGGTATACCCCAGAATAACACTAACGAAGGGTTAAAAGGTATCATTCCTAGTCATTTTTAATAAGAAAGAAGATAGTGTTGCATCCATGGAGTTAAAAAACAATGCATAAGTAAGACTATGCAGTAGAATCTATAGGCGTGTGTGAAGCCTGACGTGCACGGTATCGGCGCCGAAGACAGATCCGTACTTACATTGAGTTTATGTTTATGTAAATAAAAACATATTGAGACAATACCAGCTTTATTTAATTTTTATCAATACATATCTGAAGTTAATGGTAAAAATAGGTTTTATATTCGATATTTCAAATATTTAATATTTATACAAAAACTGTACAGCCTATACCATGAAAATTTGAAAATCCCCTATTATATAACTTAGGTACGTATAAGATCAAAGGACTGTTCGAAATAGGACTTTTGTCCCTGTTCATAGAACAGCAGTGGATAAAATTTAGTCCGCATACATATAAAACATAAAAATACTGAAGATTTTAGTTTTAATAATCTCCTTCAAAGCTTTTAATAATCTTCTTCAAACAAGACTCAACCTCTGACGGAAGCAAGAAACTCTTTCGAAGGTTCGAAATAGATGAAGATTTCAATCTAGCAGACCA